TCCCCCGTATCAAGGCACCCGCTGGTCCCTGCGCTTCCAGGGAGGCTGCAGGTACAGCCAAGATGCTGTCCCTGATTCTGAACTGAGGGGGTAGTGGGTACACAAATTGCTTTTCATCCCTTGACCGTTTCAGCATGAGATTTCCAAAATGAAAATTTTCAGTATTTTCTGTTTGTTTCTGATAATTCCTTTTTCCCAAAGCAGAATGGGACTCTCTCATATGACAGATGCAAATGTTTCCCAATAGAGTGAAGAGGCCACAGCTTTTACTGCAACTCTCAGATCAGAGCACATGTAAAAGGCCAAAACTATCACGATTCTTCTACATATCTGGTTTGTATTTAACACTCTAAGACACCCTGAAATCAGATGGAAACCTTGAGAAAATCAGCTGGAATCGTTTTTAAAGTTCAGGTCCAGAGAAGTAAACCTAAAAGTCTTGCTATCCCCAACCCTCAAACAAAAGGTGTGTCTATCACATACTTTTGTATTCAGCTACCTACTTAGACCAAAGGACACTTTTACTTGGAAAGGTCCTCTTCCAGTCTTGGGACACTGCATCCTCGAGACAAGTAGACCTTGGACGAGAGCAGCATTTTATGACAAACAGAAGGCTCCTGGGAGTGACAACGTGCTTGGGGATGGTACGTTGACTCTTCTGGGTTAGATGCTGTATTTCTCACATTTCTATGACAGCTGACAGAAAATCATTTCCCATATTCTTTAGGTTGCTCAGACCAGAAGTATCCCATTAACTTACAAATTGAATAAAAGGATAGCGCTAATAAAGGTTCTTCATACCTTCTGGATGGCTAGCAGCAGATTAACAGCGTTGCTCAGGATGCACACCTACTGCTTGGAGAATTGCGCTGACTTGAGAAGTGTCTCATGGACACAATATCTTCCCCACGAAGAAAATTGGAAATCAGGCTCTATTGTAACGCTTCCATTTCTATGCAAATTTTTGTGGAGGTTTCACAGTAATATTTTACCCTTCAGAATTTTACAACTTTTACAACAACAGCAACAAAAAAGCATGTATCAAATGTTCTAACAATTCCAGAGTAAATCGCTTAAAGACATTTAGGAAAGCTTTAATCACAAAGAAAATTTATGCATCAGGTTTAGGCTAGCAGGCAAATATGAATACATTTCATGGAAGTCAGGGGCTTAAGCACAGCAGAAACTCGGCATCAAGCATGGCTCTAACTCTGCAATGTCAGACCACAAGGGCAATTAAGTAAATTAACACAAACCTTTATGAGCTCTTGTGCCAGTTCTTCCAGTCAGCCTAGGAGAGCAACCTTGACTTTGGCACTGCTTGATGTCAGAATGCTTAAGCTAGCATTTAAGTCAACCTTTACATTAAATGCATTTATATCCGTACACACGCACATGCATGCAGGCACGTGCTCACACATATTTACGTAAGCACACTTTGCTTGTTTCAAGGAATAAAAGACCAATGCCGTTCTCATACGGGAATCACCCCTCGTACGTGGGAACCTGGCTGTCACATTCTGCTTCCCTTGTTTTTGGATGTAGGGTTAAGAGGCATTAAATTCGAGGTAGAGCTAGTGGCACAGGCCCAGAGAGGCAGATAGCTTCCTCAAGTTCACCGACACCTAAAAATAACCTTACTGAAATGTCACTAGGGTGTCACATTTTATGTTGGCCTCACTGCATGGCACAGAACTAAAAGAGGAAGCAGGGGCTGGGTTCACAAAATGGGCTGAAGACAGGGGAGAGGGAAGCCAAGACATCTCACCTCCACAGGCATCCGACTCTGCGTGAAGGGCCCTGCCCTGGCCCTGTAGGTAAGGGCAACATGTGGGCAAGTCTCCTGCCGTGTTGCTTTCTTTTCATGCAGATTTTCCTGTGGAAGAGTTTGAGATGTGGCTCTGGCCCCTCTATTGACAAAAAAAACCCTTCCAAAATAAACTTGTAGGGGACTGACCCCACCTGGACTAGCCTGTGGCATGTATATGTATGCCCCAACTGGAGCTATAGGCCCCGGCCCAGAGTACTGCCTCCTGCCCAGGGGGAGAAGTTTGGGAGCTAACGCTTCTGGGAGGGCACCTGAGAAAAACTTGTCAGGGCTGGGGACAAGACAGTCCTGAGGCAACATCATCAGGGCTTTCATAAACTCCCTACAACTGCTAAATCACCAAAACCCTTTAAAACCAATGCTTATAAAAGGTGCTCTTTGAAATAATTTCTTCCAGCTTTGATGCCCAACGTCTCTCGTGGCAGGACCAGGCAGCCCTTTGAGAATGGGACTCCTCGTCCCTCAGCAGCTCTCAGGCGCTGTTTCCTACCTTCAGGATGTAAAACTGGCACAACCTTTCCTCAGCTGGGGTTATTTAGGAGTCTGTACCTCCAGTCACTTGAACTCCATAGTTACAAAAATAAACTGTACGTAGGTATTTCCCTTGTAGCTCCCTGTTGTCATCACACTTTCCTCCTCTGCGTCTGCAAGCTTCCAAGGCAGAAGACTTAATTATCAAATAGACCAACTGACAATGCTTACTCCTAGAAGAAAAACACATCAATACAACAGGAAATACCTCAGTTACGTGATAAGAGATACCAGGTGCCACATTGTGCAAGCTAATTGTCTGTAGATACCAGAGGATTGCTGCTAAAGAGAACAAGATTCCTCATATATTTTTAGTGTCAAACTGTTGTCAGGCCTGGTGTCAGCTTATCACCTGGAATTACATGAGAAACGTAAGGAAAAAATGTTCCTCTAGTCTGAAAATGGCACTTGGCTGCTGCCTACCCAAAGCTGCAGCTCCAGGCAGCCTGCAGCCTGGAAATGAAGATACCAGGCACGACACGAGGAAGGTTGGTGCTGAACCTGTCACCTTACACTCAGCTCCAACAGGGGAATGGGAAAAGGATAACTGAGGATTACATCCCCAACTTCTGAACAGTTAGTAGTTATAAATGTTTTATTTTAATATAAACCCAAGGTGGCACTGACAGGCTGAGGAAAACAGGCACGTTTACACCTGAACACACTACACAGCCACCAGAGACAAGACCTTTTCATCTGAACGTTGCGAGTGGTGATTCAATGAGCTGAGCACCCACCTTATAAGCTCTGTTATGAGCTGAGCACCACTACGATGCTGGGCGAGGATTCTCCAGCCCATTAGGATCTCTTGTGCCAGCTGCATGCTGGTGTTAGCAAAGTTATAAACTGTGCCTGCATTGAAGTCATAAACTGTCTTTTATACACAGTCATAAAAGTACTGTGTGGGTTTATCTCCTAAATTACTTCCAAAACTGCTCTTTCAGCTCTGTCTGGAGTTGCTGAAGCAGTTCACCACCAGGTGGCAGATCCTCCAACCTTAGGAATTTCAAAAGTTCAAGAGACTCAAGCGGCAGCACCAATTCAAACAGTAATTATCTGTTATCCATTCATTTTAGAAAAGCAAACTGAGATTCTTCTTGTTTGACAATGTCCAAGGATGTGCTGGATGGATGCTACCATGCCACACACCCCAGGCTGCAGCCTATTAATAGGTTATGAAGTACAGGGCTGTAACAGGGCAGTTGTAACAAGTTTTAATCTTCATGTAGATTTTCATTGGTTAAGAAAAAAAAAAAAAAGAAGAAAAAAGTTTTTTTGGTTCACTAGGGACATTCGACGAAAAAGAGTAAAATAATAAATGTCTAACTGAACACTTACTAATTTGCACCTGTGCTATTCTACAGGCTAAAAGCTACATGGGACACAGTTTCTTACCATGTCTGATCATATTAGTTTAGGGTATTGCCATAAAATTGGCCTTTCAGAGCATTCATGGGTAGAACGAAGGGCAGAAAACAAAAACAGCACTAAGGCACTTCAAGAGCCCTTAACTCACCTTATTAAAGTTTCTCCACACTTCCTGCAGGAGAGCAAAGCTCCACGAGCAACTCCCACGTGGTGGGCCTTTTTTGTAAGATACTCATCCAAGCCCATTGCAATTCTGTACACTTGTGCACGTGATACATTGCAAATGCTCTGAGACAGGAACCATTTTTTTTTTTTTTTTCTCTGTTTGTACTGGGTTTAGTATGTTTGCACTCTGACTCCAACAATAAAATGTCATTATCACAGTAAGTCCAGGTACTTTCCAGTTCCAGCAGCTCTGAGAAGCACGTACTTCAGCTGGAACAAAGTGGGAGCTGAGGGAAAACCATTAGGTCAGTGGACTCTTAGTGTGTGCATTATCTCCCACCAGTCAGAACCTTTCACAGGTCCTATGATATAAATGTACTTTGGATAATATAGCTAAAATTTAGAAAGTATTAACTTCACTCACTGTCCATTAGAAAATCCTCAAGGCTGATGCATTAATTGAAAACCTGTTCCTAATATTTTTAGAGTCCAATATATTTTCATGACATTCATAAGCTTTGTCATTACAATCTTTTGTGTTTTTCCCTGTTAACACTTGCCATGAAACAAAACAAAACAAAACACTAAACCAACTGCTTTTCTAGGTTAGAAAACTGCTGGGTTTTCTGGAACTGCTGACATCTAAATTACACTTTGTTCTGTATGTTTTAGAACCTTAATACTTGCTTCATTGTGCAACTGTAAAATACAAACAAACAAACAAAGTCTTCATATTTTCCCAAAGTGTCTGCCTTGATATGTTTTTGAAAAGTAAAAGAAAGAACTTGTCACTGGACTTTATGATTAGACAAGCATGTGTACAATAGACATGCTAATCTCAACCCATAATCTGATCTGTGTTACTCTTCCAATTTCATTTAGCATGTGGCTCGGATGTGCTGGATATAGCGAGACATATTTCATAAGCTATGTATTCTGCAAAATCAAATTCAAACTAGTACAGGGCTGATGATAACACAGTAATAAAAATGCTATTTTAAAGATTTGCCAAATGCCTACATTGTGTTTGCTCAAATGCATTCGCTGTGTTAGGACCACAAATTATCAAACACTCAAACCATGTTTTTTGAACATAAAACCAACACAATTAAAGAAACAAATCACTGCAATTTAATAGCAATAATCTCACTTTACAACATAATAAAGGTGGAAACTTTGCAAAGGAATCTGAAAAAGAGACTGTAATTAAAAATGACAGACTTAAGATAACAGAGCTAAAATTAAATAGCACAGTAATTCTAGTAGGCTGAAATTTTAACCATAATGTTTATTTGACACCGCATTCTGATTAGTAAGTGACACCGCATTACCAGCACTTACTGATATCTCATAAACACTATTCCTTTAAAGCAGTATTTTGCAGCTCAGTGACCTTGCACAGATGGACAGTAAGTAACCCACCCCCCAGATCCAGCTCACATGTGGTCAGTAGCAAAATTCCTAAACAGAACAGGAAGACCTGGAATGCACGTAACCACTAGAAGGCAACATACAGCTAAAATGGTGATTTCAATATTTAATGCACTCCACAAATACTATTTATTTCAAGACATATACCACTGCCAAACATGAATCAAAGCAAAACAGAGGTGGTGTAGCTTTGTGGATGGAGAGGATTGGGATTTAGGGAATTTGGATTCCGTTCCTGGGTTGAGCCCAGACTCCCAGGTAAGACATTCAGTAAAATGGAAATTACGACACTGGCCTTCTACAAAAACCTTGACATCTACTGAAAAATAAAAAAATAAACCAACAAAACCAATGAATGTGAGTTGGGGCTTATTATTTAATATTAAATAGGAACTATATAACACTTTCTCTAATCACCTTAGAGACTATATAATAATTAACTTTATTAAGTGTGGCTGCTGCTAATGCTGCACAGAAATAATGAAACGTGATAAACAATATATATGAAGGACTTCACATGAGCAGAAGTCACATACTTTTTCTTCTTTTAACCCAATTCATGCTGAAGTCAGAAGTCTCAGAACGAGAACTGGTCCCGCACAAAGCAGACATAGAGGGGTACGGTGATACTAGGGTTTCATTTTGAAAGTCTTCAGTGATACGTAAGCAAACAGTTCAGTATTTACCAAGACAGAGAGGATGCTTTTCTGAAAAGGGGTCTATGTTTCCGTATTGGCTGATGTTGATGAGAACTGCTTAAGAAAGTTTGATTGCTAGTAAGTGATATACATGTGAGTATGCACAGCAGAAGAGAAAACCAAAGTATTTTGCTCATTAAATAACATAAAATAATGTGATGACCACTAATAGAGGAAAAAAATCCACAAAGATTTTTTTTGCAGTTTATTTTCAATTATAATTTTTGGATAACCAAGCAGCTCTGTATGGAGAAAGCACAGAAGAATAATTCTGGCACTTTTGGATAGTACATTTTTTTTTTCAAAAATTTTTCTAGACACATTCAGTCCATTTGCTCGGTCTATAATTCATTTTATGAGCATGATTAGCTCATATTATTCCAGAGGAAACTAACAATATATACAGTCAATGAAACTATCTTCTTGCCTACTCTGGGCCCTTTAAAATGTCTTCTAAGTCTACCCTGGCTAAACAGAATCCACAATATACATGATAGCTACAGAATACACTGTATTGAAATGAGGAATGCTCAGCACAAAATGGGACTCTTGGCATGCAGCTTAAAATAAAAGGTAGAAGTTCAGAAGTTTATAAAATCCCAAATGGGGTCAATTAAAAGGAGTTAGCAAAAGAAGGGACTGTTCATTGTTACTGTAAAAAAGGCACTTTGAGTAAATGGGACCAGAATTGGAGGAATCGTAGTCGACACAAAGTTCAGTTTGGTTTCATAAAAAGGCTTCAATGCTAAGGGATGCTACTCAAGTTTCCTGCAGTTTTACATTAAAATAAATTGCTGAGTAGTTTATAATAAAGGACATAAAATGTTTACAACCAACTTGTAAAATTAAGAAAAGCATAGTATAAGCAAAATATTACTAAAAGCAGCAATGCATAGCCTTTCATTGAGATAATGCACAATTTTGGACACCATGTGTCAAACTCTTGTTTTTAAGATACTTTCAGTAGCATTATCAACATAAAAATGGCCTACAAAACAAAAGCTTTACCAGCTCCCATTCATAAGGAGATTGAGGTCATAAACCAACCAAAACAATTTGTCAGTATTTTCAACATCCTGGATGACCAATATCAAGTATATGGAATAACAATCACACTCTTTGTTCAGCTATCTCATTGGAGGCAGCCGTTTAATCAGAGGAATGATTTTAATTATTTTTCTAACATTTACACAGTAATGCATTTAAGTTCTTTCAAATGTTGCTCACCACAGTTTGTTTTTCTCTTTTCTCTCCACCAAAAAAAAAAAAAAAAGAAGAAGAAAAAAAAAATCAAGCACTTCCACAGAAAGAATATTTGGCAATTTTATACTCCACTGAATTGTGGATTTTCACAATAGCTCACTTTAGATTAAAAGTCATTAGTGGTCTTTCCTCTCGTTTCTGCCAAGGACTCTTCTTATCTTCCCCTTGGTCGTCTTCCTCATCCTCCTCATCCTCCTCCTCATCTTGTACTGATGTTCCATGTTCCGGACTAGTTAATGGCTCTGGTTTGGTATCCACAGTTCTCGTCTCCTCCTGCAGGCTGGGCAGCTGCACACCACTCCTCTTACTAGTGCCTTCTAGGAGGCATCGTAGAGCATTGTCCTCAGGGCTACAGACCGCTGTTCCACACTCGCTGCCGCTTTGGTCCATATCATCCAAATACACAAGCTGTGTGTAAGCTGTGCTATCTGAAGCCTTCCGCTCTCTCTGCTGGTGCTCTTGCACTGGCGGGTGACTCTGTGGTGCAGACAGATGATCTCCTCTTCCCTTCCGTGCAGATTTTGGTTCATTCATGTCAACGCCGGAGTCCAAACTGGCGTCGTTACTCCCGTTCCTACCAGCTCTTTGGAGATCGATGTACGAATGTCTAACGTGAGCATTTGAACGTCCATCTAGAGAAACAAACCAGGCTCGAGGATGAGGCAATGGCTTTCCACCTCCTAATTCCATCAAAGCCTTTTCTGTAAGAAGCTGCACTTCGCTATTCATTTGAGCCAGGGACGCATCATTAAGGGAGGCTGGAATGGAAATAGATTCAGACATGGAAGCGTTTTGTTGGCTCCACTCAGTCGCACCTGCATCTTGCAAATGTTGCTGGGATATTGCTTGGGCTGTCAACTGTTGGGGCTGTAGCTGCTGTGGGGGGTGTGGAAAAAGCCGTGCGTGGGGGTTAGGAAGCTCAGCTTGAAGTCTTTCTATATCAATTGGCTGGTCGGCTGGGACAACCAGCGGCTGGCTAACATAAGAGTGTTCTCCCGGTAATTTCATGTAGTGACCTGGGATCACCAACGCAGGCAAAACTTTTCTGTAAACACTGTCATTAACTTGGTCAACAGAATTGCAGCAGATTAACTGACCTGGTCGAGGGAAAGATGTAGGTCTTTCGAGGTGATCGACTGAACGAGACATCATACATTCAGTAGGTCTGCAGTCCAGCAGCTCTTTTTCAGGGGCTGAAGGTGTGGGGTATATTTGTTCCTGAACATTGTATTTACTTCCAGTAGCAATATGGTTCATAGATACTTGAATTTCTCTCTCTTGCTTATCAAATAAAGGCTGAGATAACATAGCATTATAACTTCTCCTGTATTCCTCTTTGACTGGGGACTCGTAGCCTTCAGCCGTTTCTGTAGATTTTCTTGTCTTTAAAGGAAAGCCATCTGCTGATTTGTGGTAGTCTTTTCTTAGAGACCCGCTGGGAGTCAGGTCATCCAAGGAAATCCTGCTCTTGTCTTTCTCCTTGTCAGAGAGCAGTTCCTCTCGGGAGCTGAACTCCTGGGAAGTACTGAATGAGTGTTTGAGCATAGGTGTGTGCATATCTGCTTCTCCACTAGGTGATACCATCTCCATGTGGATGGCACTCATTAATTCCTTTGCACCTGAGTTTTCGGTGTGCCCATTGCTAGCAACAGACAGCCCGCCAGGGAATTCTGACTCACGGCGTGAAAATATCAAATTTATATGGGACATAGAAGTTGCTTGATCCTTCTTAGAAGTGTCCAGTGCTGTGGAAAGCTGCAGTTTCTTGTGATGCTGACGTGGTCTTAAACATTTTCTTCTATAAAAGCCAGTAACAAAAGAAGTTACATATTTATGACTGTTGTACACAGAAACAAGAACAGCAAGTGCATCTCAATGGGAGATTTTAAAGTAGTGATTAATGTTAGGGGAATCGAGCTTTTATTACATAACCCAACAATTAAAAGCTTATCTTAGCAGCAAAGATAAAATTAAAGAGTAACTTATGTCAACTGGGAAATGTCGCAAGCACCAATTATAAATTGGAGCAAATGCCTGGAGGAGGCATATACAAAATCACACATTAATATACACTTGCTGATATGAGCTTAACATTCATTTTAATATAGGAGTGATTAAAAAGGTTACCGGCAAGTGCAGAACAGATAGAATTACATAGATCTTGGACCAATGCCTATGTTTGATAGAAGGTTTTAGAAAACACAGGTGTGTGTGCTCCATTCAGCTACCATCCTACCAAAGGCAGGGACTATATGTGCTGCGTATGCAACCAGGAACACATTAAATTGATCTATTTCTTTTACTTTCAAGTGCTTGCTTTCTTCTTCTTTCATTTCAAGTACAAAAGTTTAAATACAACAGCTTTCAATTTCATGAGCACAAAAAAGTTTACACTTCTAACATGGCCTAAGTAATGATGGTGAATCTTACCTGCAATAATACAAAAGGAGACACAGCAAGACTAGAAGTATGAGAGCCATCCCTCCTAAAATTGCCAAAAGAAACATTGTGTGATAGCTGGTAATGTCGTGTGTTACAACGGGACCTGGAAGGCCAGAAAAGAGAATTTAGACCTGTAACAACCTGCAAACAAAAAGAGGAACAGTACTTTAAACAGAGAGGGGCATCTTCCCCGGTTATCAGGATGCTAAGTGAGCAACACTGCCACTCAAAGCCCTGGTGCCTACTGGGCAGACCGCCTCTAAAGAAGGGAGCAAGTTGTGGAGAAAGCATGTGCTGGTTTTCATGTCTGCAAGTCCAAATAGATCATTCTGTGGAAAAGCAGTTAGTTTCGACGGGAGCATGCATCAGTGATTGCTGCCTTCCAGGTCCTGATGCTGACACAGTGCACTAAAGCTGTCATCACTGCAGAAAAGTCATCACAGCATCTTCCAGCACTGTAATGCATGTAGCAGCTCTGTGGCTAGCAACTCTCTAAGGACATTTGTGTTGCTTTGCACTGAACAGTACATACATTGCAATACAGGATTCGTTGGAAGATGTGTTGGTGCTCTTAAGCCTAGATCAAGCCAAGCCAAGTGGATCTTCAGTAGCTTTAAAAAGCAAACCACTAGTGAAACAGTGTTGTAACTCCAGGTTCCAATAATGCTTAGGAAATGGTCTAACATACAGAGAATGCACACATGTGGACAGCATCTGTGCACAATTTTGCATGTGTAACCCTCCTGGTTTGTAAAATCCTTATCATGATTTTGAAATAAAGGCCCAAATTTCCCTCTGCAGGCAAGGAGGTACGGTGCCAGCTGACAGAGTAACATGCATGTACCGTGAAGGACAGCAAACTTGAGCAACATTAAGGTTCTAGGTCATGAGGTTTGTAAATCCTCATTTGCGGATCTCGAGTGGTCTGTAGAGCCACTGCTAGGAAAGCAAAGCTCACTTCTGTCCATTTATTAGGATAAGAAATTGAATAGATTCATTGAGGAGACAAAATAAGCAAAAAGACATTAGCCTGATTAAAAATAACATCAGGTAGATTATATTTGGGTAATCTAAGTATTTATACATTCTATCTCACGATTACCTTTACATAACTGATTGATACTGTTGTTGATACATTAAGCAAAAAGACAAGAAAAATTAATTGATTTTTTTCATGAAAATGTTGCTCCCATTACAATAAAGTTTTAGGAACTCTGACCTAGCCCTCAGAAAGAAGGAAACGTAGAATAAAAGCAGAAATTCTGCCGTACAAGTTAAATTGCAAAGACAAATGTAGGCCTTCTCCTATTAAGAGCTACAGGCTGCCTCCTAACTGAAGAGTTAGAGTCCCAATTTCATGGCTAGTGGAACTTCCCTACAGTCTGTGGCATTTGGCTCAGAGCAGTTGTTTTTTCTTAAAGTAAAATTAATTTGTAAAATTCCATTACATTCAATAGGATAGTTTATTTTGATCTGCACCTTTACCTAAACTCCAGTCAGCAATGAATCAGATGAATATTCTAGCAGTTTAAGGCAATATACCTTAAATAAAAAGCTTACATAATGTATAATACAGAAAAAAAAAACACTACATAGCATGAAATGACTTCATGGACTATACAAGTAGACTTTAAAAACAAAGTCCTCATGTTAGAGTTTGGTTTTTTGGTTCGATATAGTTTATTTGGTTTGTACAGCCAAGGCAAGAATGTTCTCATTTCTACTGTATTTGGTTTTCATCCTCTCTAAGAATACGAGATTTTTGTTTGTTTGATTGGCTCATTTATAGAGAAGTACCTCTGATTTTTGTTGGCTGAAGAACTAATACTAAGAAACCTGAGGCAGCCTCAGATAGGAAAAAGGAGGAGCAGGCTGCAACGTTACAATCTCCATGGGCACAGATGTAAAACTAACACCTAGTCCAGAGTGACTGCCTGAAGTTGTACAGAGGCTTGCAGATGGGAACCAGTATTTCCATCTACCAAGGCCACTCTACTGATACACCTCCTGCAACTTTTACCCTAAGTTAATCGTGGTGAAAATTAATCGGTCACCAAGATGATGCAAAGCCTAAGCCACAGCAAAATGGGGATCTTCAGAGGAAAAAAAAAAGTCCAAAAAATGTTACAATCAATCAGTTCATTAGTAAACGTCTGACCTGGGATGATGCTGGTCTTAGATGTATCAATTAATTTGGGAGTTTCTGTACAGAAACTTCATAAAACATATTTTTCTACCTACTGGATACCAATACATTGATGTTACAACTCCCTTCATTTTCTAGCAATGGCTCTGCCAGGCAGTGGTGACAAATGCATCAAAGCAGGAACACTTTAAAAAGTTTCCTATTGAAATGGTTCAGAGATTAGCAAACTCAAAACAACTTTTGAGCACAATTTTTGCCCCCCACAGTCCCCAAAAGATTTTAGCCCTTTACTTTCAGATTTCTGTTTTCTAATAATCCATTATTGATCAAGCTGTGGCATCTCAGATGAGGTCATTCTGAAAAATATAAACATTATATATGAATAAATAATTACTCAATGATGGACATATCAATAAAATTCAATTCCATCTTACCTGGGATAGTAGGTGACATGGCTGCAACCCAGTAGCCCAGCTGAGGTGCAATATAAGTCCAAGTCAACTGACTTCCTTCCTGTTGTACAAGGCCCAAACTACTCTTCAGCCATGTCCCTGTAAATACAAAGGTTGTAGAAAGGCATTACAGATATATCCATGCATTCCTCTGTAAACGAGTGGAAAGCAAACAGTAACCTATCGATGTGCTTTAGGTGTTGTATGCCTTGCTGTGAAGTGGGAGATGGTGCCTTTCTGTCAATAACACCTGAGGGCTCCCCCAGGCAATCATCCCTGAGGCCTTTTCAGAAGCTCTGTACAGAAAAGTCCTTAAAATTTAGTATAACTCAAAGGTTCAAAAAGGGGTTATAGAATTATTAATTAATTAGATTTCACTTTTTCAAAGAATGATACTCCTGGAGGTGATTATATTTGGACAGACCCCTTAAAAACTCTATTTCAAGAGACAGCAGATCTCTCAGACCACACGAGTTCTCCACACCACCCTTCTATCTCTTGGCAGTGCAAGTGGTGTTCCCAGAAATGTCATTTTTCCCATAAAGAAGAAAGGCTTAAAAATGTTATTTCCAGTGAGTGTAAAAGTAAGTTGTCCCATCACTTTGATTCAGCAATGTTAGTCATTCACAGTGTGTATGCATTGGGGAATGCTGTTTGCCTGGTAACGGGTGATGAGTTTTCTAAAACATGTTTCTCAAAGGAAATACAATAATTTTTTTAGACTTAGGAAGTGATCATTTCAAAATAAGTAGAGCAGACAATATTAAAACCGTGTGTTTAAGTTAACAAAACTCGTTAATAGTCCAGAGTGGTGATCTGTATTAGTTCAGAGCCTTTCTAAGATAAGCTATGTTGCAAGAATTGGGCTACAGAACACCTTTATGACCAAAACAGTTCATCTTTTTTTTTTTTTTTGTCATTTATTAAGACCTCTAATTCTGGAGCTGTTAGAGAAAAAAAAAATCACCTTGATTTCTAATATATTAAATGTCCATTTTGGTTTGTAGATGGCTCCCATCTTTTCCTCTTTGAAAGCAGCACAGGTTGCTACACCGTGCACTGATGAGAGTTAAATAATCAGACTGCAGGTATCAGATGGGTTACCTGCATGGGTCTGTGCAAAAAGATTCCCCAGCTGCAAGAAAACAGGAGCAAGCAGAGAGAAGGCAGGTCCAGGAGGCATTTCCTGAAGCTGCAGCCCTGGCTTGGCTTCACCAGTGGGGACCGCACCAATTACAAGAATGCTGCCTAGACAAGGTTCTTTGCAGCCACTACCAGTACAGCTTAGCTGCATACACAGAAGGAATAAATCCCTTTGAATTTCCATAGAGTAACTCTGAATTTCTACCTAAGAGGCAGGCAAAATGCTGTGTTTACCTTACTCGGCTTCAAATACCCACTTGAAAAGCAAGTTGCACCTTGCACTTGTGAATCCCTTCCCTTTCAGTAGTCTCCTACATGGCACTCCTGGAAAGGTGCTTTTCATCAGGTGTCACTCAGCACTAAGCACGAGCATTTGTGGATGCAAGTCATCTGCACGTTTAGCAGTCAATGCAGAACACACGGAGGAGATACTTTATTTTTTATTATTAAAAAACCACTGAGATCCTGATGATTTCCTCCATGTTTCTGGGATTATCCACCTGTGCAGACCCTTTCTATGTGAGAACAGCTTTTCTGAGTATTTATTTTCTCTCTGCTATTGATTTTTCCTGAGTAAGTACATCCGTGAAGCCCACCATCTGACTACTGGCTCTGCATTTGAAACCAACCTGACTTTGTGGCCAACAGGAGAAAGAAATTACTGACAATTTTTCTCTTCTCCAAGTATCATTTTCAGTCTGTACACAGTAGCAATAATCTGTTATTTCACACAGAAAGTCAGGCAAGATGAGGCTTTTTGATTCACAGTACCAGACAGATCAAAACCTGGATGTGTAGACTTGAATCAATAAATAGTGTATCCGAACACCTTGGTGTAGTCATTACTTTACCAATTTTTGGGAATTATTATCAAGAAGAACAGAACTGAATTGTCCAGTTGTGTGTAAAAGTTTCTGGAAAAATTAGGAAAAGCAGATTCATTTGCTTCCCCAGGATGGCTGTTTTCCCTTCAGATTTTCTACCAATGCATTATGGTAACAGGCCTGAACCACAAGCTGAAAAAAAGCCCACTGGGTCACTTCTATCTTGTACCTAAAAATGCCACTTGATAAGAAGACTGTAAGCTTAAATTGCACTTTTATTTTTTATTTTTTCCCTGCAAGATCTGTGGAGTAAAAATCCATGTGGAGATAATGAGAAAACTGCTATCTCAAAAAAAAAGGAAAATGCACCAACTATTCAAATACACAGCTACGTGAAAGAACACATTAAGATCAGCACACAAAAGTGCTGATTAAAAAAAAAAGGAAGAATGGCAGGGCCTGGGTGATGAACTTACTATTTTTACAGTCTCTAACCCCCCTAAATTTACGCACAGACAAAATACATACACAGGTAACATAGCGAATTTCACTGCCATCTTTGTCATCTATTTTTATAGTTAATTACCTCTTTGAGCAGAAGCTATTATTGATTTCTTCACTAGGGGGAACTTGTGTCCAGCTTGCTTTACGGGCATTACGCTGCCTTCCAGCGAACACAATCCGTGTAATGCCTCTTTAAAAGCCTTTTGCTCGGTAATACCCAGCTTGCATAATGTGGCGATCAAGGAGCTAACAGAGGCTGCACTCTTATCGCAGTGAGCAGAGCTCAGCTGCCATCCTGCCAACCAAGCAGCAGCTCGGATTGCTCATATTTTAGCAACGAAAGGAATCCCTGCATTTGCAAGGGATGCAAACAATGGTGTCGCCTGCACAAGGTCGGTTGGGTTTCACGTTCGTCTTCTGCTCATTTAGATCACCCGTTTTTGCTAACCACCAGAGACACACGAGGAAATGCAATGGTTGGTGTAACACTTGGGAAAAATGGAATTTATTTGCTCTGTTATGCACAGCTAGGAGTTTTAAAAACCTAAGAGACATATATCTGATATCACTTACCCTCAGACAGGAGTTAGACGCTTCTGTTGACCATACCCTACATGTTAGCATGTGAGGACGGATGTAAAATAATTACTTTTAAAATGGCACTGATGTAAGTTCCTTCATCAAGGCAATGCCAAGTGTGTTCCCATGGGTAAAAAATCTTGTTGGCTGCCCTTTTTAATATTTTCCTGGTTCAATAGTTTGCTGATAAACTTGCCTTACACTTCTGCCGTCTCTTACCGATAGTTCCCTAATGTAAGAGTATCCTCCCATATGGTGGGATGAGGAGAATGAAGAACTCCATCCTCCACAACAGCAGCAGAAAAACAGGTTTGAGGGGAAACAGCTGAAACACAAAGTGCTGTCTTGTTTCTTTTGTGATCAAGTAGCTGAAAGCCAACACAGCGTTACTGGAGGGAAGTGATGTGCCTGCGGTATTCTGTAAGTCCATTAGGGCGTTCCCAGGTCTCTCTCATACTTCATCCTTCATAGGGACTAACTCCCTGGTCACTTTTCAACTCCCAGTAAACACCAAGCAGTGTTTTCATAACTCTCCATGTGCAACACCTCACTGTAATGACTAATGTTGGACCTTCTACCGAGCAAAAGTCAATCACGTTGTACTTACAGGCTATGCTCTTTGCATTTCAAGCTGCCTTGAGGAAGCAGCAGTTTGCTGCTGTGCAGTGTCAAGAATGAATTCCTTATCCTGTTCCAGGTCCTTCCTTGCAGTTGGAAGCAAGATGCTCTCCAAATGTGCAGCTAACTACCCACTGTGTCCTTGTGTACTTGCTCTTGTAAGCAAGAGGGAAGACCGAGGGGCAGTGAATAAAGAACTTCTTCCATTTTCTGTCCTCTCCTATCCACTAGCTTGCAAACGGAATAAAGGCAAGCAGTATTCACTTCTTTTGTGCAGGCAGGATTACGATTGCAGGAGAACTAAACAGAAGGATTTAGGAGGGAACAGAGGTTTTATCTCCCTGCACGGCTAAGTGTTATGATAATTTAATTCATTATTCTCCAAACATCCTATATCATCTACTTCCTTTTTCCTCCCAAGTCAGCACAACTGAGTAGCTCCACTGCTTGCTAAGTTATACACAATGTGTAACAACTGCTAAGTAGCAAGGAACACACGATTATAAACAAGCAGCAATACGAATGACTGGATGTAATGGAACTGATCATTTTTGTTCAAGACGTGCTGTGTAGTTCCAAAGAAAACACGCCAATATCTCCTTGGAGCAGAAACAGCAAGTTCAGTAGAGTTTGTCAGCGCGGCACCATTTGAGCCAATTTGTCATCAATTCTTAAAGAGTGTCTGGTGCTTCACGGAAAACTTCTAAATATAGAGACAATCTTGCTTATAGATCATTTTTACATTTCTCTTCCACTTTTTCCTCTATTACTGCTCAGCGAAGCCAACACGCTGATCCAGGACTCAAGTCAGGGGAGCTGTCTCCTGGCTCAAGCTAATGGCAGGGGGAAAACCTAGGAGTTTCTTAACTCTTTCCTCACAAAAATTGCATTTAGCGTTACTGATATCTTGGAATAAATGTTGCCATTTAACAAAATTCTTCTAAAAAACCTTTTAAAACTGCTGCCCAGCATGCCTTTCTACATTTAAGTGAAGTAAAGTATGAAAACTACCATCAATAACACTGCAAAAGATATAAAAAATGAGAGTACTTTAAGAAAACTTCTAATAAAAAAAAAATCAGATAAAGCTGAGCTCCATCTGACTGCAGAAATACCCAAATACCAGAGACAGTCTGAAGATTTCAGCAGAGCAGAAGTTCTGCTAGAGTTATTACTCTGCTGCAACTTTGATTGTGATGAGCACGCTTTATTTATCTCAGACAGCTTTTAGGACTTTCCAATAAGGGGGGAGAGGTTACTATCCTAAGTAATTTTAGCAGCAAAAGGTTTTCATATTAGACCTCCATTTTAGCACACATTCTGCACTAAAAACGCCTTTCTGTTATCTAACTTACTTCTCAATCAGCTTGAAAAAAAAAAGCACTTTCAGCAAGGACAGTATCCAGATGGGCAGCTATTGCAGAAAATCCA